ATTGCTTGTTTATTTTCCCACAGTTGCCTTACTACCTCACGGAGTTCACAGTTTAGTCAATGTCCTTTCACGGATCGCTCACAGCAACTCACAGGATATCCGTTGATATATACTGCATCCATACTCCTTATGTATTATTGTCATAGTCGCTTTATAGTTGTTAGTCGCTTTTTAGTAATAAGAGTAGTTCAATTACCCAAGTTTGCGGTGTGCTCGCTGTGCGCAGTCCCGCGTGGCAGCAATCGATCACAGTACACTCACCGCGCACTAACTGTCTCACCGATCATACAACTAGTGCATCGACCAAATAGAGGTACGATTTGTTGCTAACGAGTAACGCTTCCAACTACCAACCTGCACGTTACTCACCACAAAGTTAGCACAGCTATTGCACAGCGAGTCACGGAAAAAGCCAACTCACACTCACCTCACGGGTCCCTCACAGCAACGAATCACAGTATCTTACACAACTAACTCAATTAACCATGAGCAGTACAGTAAGATCACTGAAAGGACTTGTCACCAAAAGAAATGACGCAGCGTAAACTGGCTGCAGGACTCCACCCAAGCGCTCACAAATATACAAGCCAAGGAAAGCGCAAGGAGGATAAAAACCTGTGAGAGGTACATCGAGCTTCTCGAAACGTCATTGGCAAAGCTAACTAAAGCTTTCGATGAAGCTCCAGAAACCACAGAAGAAGAGGAGGACCACCTGAACAAGTACATAGAAAAAACGTAAGCAACAATAATGAAGCTACACGAGCACAAGATACGGCTAGAAGAAGCCCAGGAGGATGATATCGGGACTGACACAGACAGCACTACTAGCCTAGCTGCAGACAATAGACTCCCGATTATCCCTATCCCAACATTCACAGGGAAAAAGTTAAAATGGGACAACTTCTGGGCTCTATACAAAGCCAATGTCCACGACCAGAACCTAACACAGCTGCAAACATTCAATTATTTGCTGCATCCTTGAGTGGGAAAGCGAAACAATCAGTTTCACGGTTTTTCGTCTCAGCAAATAATTACGAGAAGGCCATCCAACACCTTGTCAAGAGGTATGACAATAAAGACGGCGTAGTCTTAGAATTGGATAAAAGCCTACACAACTGTGTAGCAAGGGGACCCAGTACGACGAAACAGCGACAGTTATGGAACAAACTGTCAACGATGGTTTGATTACCCGAGTTTGGGCTACCTTCTTTCAGCGGGGGGTACCCTGGGCAGTGCGATCCTTCAAAAAGGACCGTGCGGCCCCCAACAATCTTATATATAAAGCTGAACTTTTGTTTGTCTGTCTGTAGGTGTGTACGTATGTTCCGAATAGAAAATTCCATTTCTGAATCGATCCGGACCAAACTTGGCACACATGCACTTCGGGGCGGAGCGGGTGTCATAGGCTACTTTTCGTCATCGATCGATATCAATTTTATCGATTTATTGTAAAGTTTGATCCACGAGGCTGGGAGTTGGCACAGGAGGGTAATCGAGTATACTGATTACGAGTACAATATTAGTTTGGCTCTATTCGGCTATCCGGGCCCCAAAATTTTTTTGTGTCGTAGAGCTTGCTCAAACTTCGTCTATAAGGGTTATCTTAAGTGCTGATAACAGATATCACACTTTCTACGCAGAAAGTCTCCCCGTGTGGTTACTATAGGTGTACGGTAGGGAGCCAAAATCATGAATTTGGCTGGGGTTCGGTCCAAAGGGCTTATTCGACATGCTGACTGCGAATATCATACTCCATATTGAGACCTTTTCATAGAGTTATGGTGGTTATACGGTATGGAATCGAAAACATAGATTTGCTCTAAACTTCGTCTAGGGTGGTCATTTGGCGCGCTGAACATGGATATCATGCTGATTTCGCAGGATAGCGCCATTTTCTTGGGTTACGGTGGGTGTTGGGTCAAAGTTCCAGATTTGCTTAAAACTTTACCTGTAAACGTTTACAAGCATGGTGCTTATGAATCTGATGCTTGCTCGCGGTCATAACGCATTATTGTGAAGTTATGGTGAGTTGCAGGGTTTGAATGGACATTTTTCCGCTTTCGGGCCAATTTAGATCCCAGATATTCACGAAATGGGGAAACGATCGTTTTGCATGGCGGTCTCCAGCGCCATCCTGATAACCGGTCCCAACGCGTAACGCACGCGGCAAATCTTCCCCCCCCCCCCCCCCTCCTTGTTATTTGCCAGGGTCAAGCGTGGGGTGTGGCATGCCAAACCTGGGGGGTCGTATTGAGGAATCAGGGAGGGGGGGGGGGGTTATCAAGGCTTCCGCTATTCGCATAACATGATATTCGTTAACAATGTCAAATAGGCCCGTCATGCAAAATACTAGCACGTTGGTGTTTGACCCATTATCGTATACGTACAGTTAAGCATAACAAAGATCTATAAAGCATAAGAGCATCGTTTTGTAATCAACAAGTAAATAACCCCTGTGGTCCAAGTTTTAGCGAATTCTGAGGCTTCCAAATACAGGACCACCTGAGTGAGACGGTTGTTTTCAAACATGTTACTTTGTTTCAAAGGTAAGTTAACTACTTCTTTTTGCGTCTAATACAAATAACTACTATTTCTTTGCTCGCATTAGGAATCCTACTTTGAATGACCTCCAAATTAGGGAATTAAGAGTAAGCCAAAATCTCGTTTGTTCCATTTTCCGCTTCTAATATCTCAGACTAGAGAAGACCAATCAGACATAGATGGCTTCAATGTAAATTACGAAAGTTAGGCTCTCGTATATACTCATTCTTGTCGCCTTACATCGCGATTTACATAGTAGCGCAGACGAGGCATGTTGCCGTAACACAATATTTTTGCAGTATTTTCCATTTGCATAGGTAAGGAGAAACGATTGAATCTTTCCCTAAAGAAAGATTTCAAATGGTTTTCCTACTGTGTAAAGAAGGTTGAGCAATAACAATGATGCAAAAAACGCAGAGACTTGAATGATTTGAAGGTAAGTTAATGGGGTGTGGCACAACCCCTTAGAAGCTGTGGCCGTCACAGCTTTTTAGGGGTTGTGCCACACCCCATTAACTATATCAAAAAACATTTTTAGCGTACGTTATTTATATATATCGATAGCCTAGACCTCGTAGATTTCATGGGAGTGATTTGAGCCTGATTCGTCTTCTTAGCTCTGAGTAATGTTTTGTGAAAGCACAGGGGTGTATGCCAAGATGAACGATAGTTGGCAAGCATACTGTACTCCTGTGGTTGTCAATATGTCGCACATAAAGTCTTATCTTTGAAGCTGTATGTTCCAAACTAAATTGAAAATGGTGTCGAACTGTAAGAATCAGGGCATACAGAGCTTCCAACGTTTTTTCCGAGCGTCGAGATATCATTAAAGCGCAGTGGCGTACCCAGAATTTCGGCTCGGGACGCCCCCCCCCTCCCCCGAGAACGGGTCGCGAAATTTTTGAAAGTGAATGCATGGCTGACGCCACGCACCTTCATCGGAAAAAAATTTTTGTCGCCCCGTACGCCACTGTCATAGCGTAAATATGGATTTTGAAAAAGATTTGACCTACGCAGCGCATATGGCTGGCACAACCTATCGTTCATGTTGGCTGCCCCCCAAAGCACGGGTGTATGCCAAGATGCCACATCTCTTGCTTGACCCTGTTCGTAATAGTAGCTATTACGAATGCGCATGGCATTCATACCACTTAGGTGTGAGACTTTGGCAAGGATGAGTAACTTACGTTTCCGGCTTGGTAGAAAAGGCTAGAACTTCTTGAACATACTTTTTGTCTTTATTTGCAAGCTATGAAGCTCTCCTTTTCTACTATCAGAGATTTGTGGAATTTGTTTAAGTGTCAGCGCAACATGGAGTTTGTCATGAAATTTACCCTGAAAACTCACAGATAAGTCCTCCCATCAGATAAGTCCGTCTACAGATAAGTCCGCCTTCAGATAAATCCGCTTTTTTGACTCAGATAAGGCCCTTCAGATAAGTCCGCTTACAGATAAGTCCGTTGTCTTTCCATTAAGACTACCCTGAATTCTGTCACATAAGTCCGGACTTATCTGTAGACAGACATTTGATGGGAGGAAGACTTATCTGCAAGATTCTTGACGGTGCGAGGGGCATTTTCATCGATTTTTTTTTCCAAAAAAGCGGGCCTATCTGTAAGATTTTAGGGTATTTCGGAATTACATTCCATTCAACTTTTCTGTGCTCGTTAACTAGGAAACGGTGCCCGCGGAGAGATATACTCCAATTTCTGAGCACTGAGTTGAAAATAAAATACGAAGTTTTGCTATAGAGATAGAAGAATTAGAAAAATCTAAAAGCGCTCCCATATTGTCCGAGATCTGCTCAAATTTTGTCATTCCTACTTTTTTCGAAGCTCTGGGATAAAAATTTTTGAAAATTAGCTGAAGCTTTGAGCAGATAGAAGAGAGGAGTGAAGATTGACTCTTATTAAGAAACACTCAGTGTATTGTAACTGGAAAATGTAGCCTTAAAGGAAAGGATGCATTGAATACAATTTTAATCGCATTCAAATTTTTGTGCGAGGATTAAAACTGTCAGAAAAATCGGGCAAATCTTTTGGTACAATTAATACATCTCACGCCAAAAACTTGTTCACTTAAAGGCAGCGCCTCAAAATGATGGGTACCGGGATTTTACAGTGTTGCGATGGTAGACCCTCCAACTAATCGAAAGTGACGCTTGGAGCGAGAAAGCGCTTTTGGGCAGCTCAAAATTCCCTCCGGAAGTCTTACGGACGCCGCCTATTTCCAGACTCCGCCTCTTCTTACACGTGATTTGGAGCGAACGCAGATACAGAGAACTTTGGAAAAAGCTCATTTTCGCCGTCAAGCGCTGAAGACTCAGATATGGCTTCAGCATGGCGAGAAGGCTCCAGAGAGGTGAAAACCGGAAAGCGAAATTTTGCGGGGACACTGCCTTTAAGCAATAATAAGCATAGTGTTTAACTTTACAACGAGCAAAAACGCTTTGTTTCGTAATGGCCGAAGCCAGAGATTACGAAGCGATCGCTGGAACAATGTGTTGTCGTTGGAAGCACAAAGTAAAAAAAACTTACGCCTTGTCACAAAGTTGTCTAAATTTTGCCACCGATAATCAGCTAAGTACTCACATGTCTGTACGTGAATTTGATATGTTTTACTTGCAGTTTCTTGCTGGTGCTGCTATTTATTTGCTTACCTATATGGTTTGGCTTTGCCTGTCTCGTATGACACCATCGAAATGGATGAATTTTCTAATGTCAACAATTGCCTTTTCTGGTTTCACGGTAATGCTATCCTCCGAAATATACATAATATTTATTCGTAAATTTATAAACCTTCAGGTCAATCCAGCTATTTATCTTATTGTGAACAATACCTTGCGCAAACGCGTGCTCAACACAGTCATCCGCAAAAGACATGTGATAGTAACTCCGACAAAGCGCAACCCAGAAAACAAAAGCATGTATAAGATAAGTACGCCTTTATGAAGCAGTTTCATGGTTATCCTTTCCAATATCAAATCATTCTGTTTTCGCTGTCGTTTGCTTGATCTCCTCTACATTTTGTGCTATATTGTTTTTCTGGCATTGAGGCTTCGCTCACTCCGATAAAAGTTGAACAGATTGTCGTGTATAAGGGAAATTTTTGATAACAGATGGCATAAAGGCATTTACTATTAGGTTGTCCCAAAAGTTTTGTCTGATTTTTTTTATCGGACACTAAAACTCACCGAACATCGATTGATGGACGACTTAGGTACCATTTAATTCAGGTTTTCATTGTATATTTCTTAGGCTTTGGCCATACTTTGCCCGTGTTGCCGGTGTTGAAAGTGTTGCTGGTGTTGAAAGTGTCAAAAGTGTTACCGGTGTTGAAAGTGTTGCCAGCGTTGAAAGTGCTGAAAGTGTTGCCGGTGTTAAAAGTGTTGAACGGAGATCATCAGTCTAGCAGTTTCATTCTTTCTCGAACGATCTCGCCGGCTGGTGAATACGTTGGAAATGGAATTGGGGAATGAGAAATGAAATTGAAATGAGATGGGGAAGATTTTCGCATGCAAAAGATCCTCAAACAAACTTTTTGAAAAGTGGACGGCTTGTCTGGAATAGGAAAACGCTGCAGACCTCACTTAGGTCCTTTACTCACTAATCGCAAGCGCGGCAGGATTCGAACTAAAACACATTACTACTCAGACGTCAGCTTTCCCAAATATTGGAGATTGCCTATTCCAGACAAGCCGTCCACTTTCCAAAAAGTTTGTTTGAGGATCTTTTGCATGCGAAAATCTTCCCAATCTCACTTCAATTTCATTTCTCATTCCCCAATTCCATTTCCAACGTATTCACCAGCCGGTGAGATCGTTCGAGAAAGAATGAAACTGCTAGACTGATGATCTCCGTTCGACACTTTCAACACGCAACACTTTCAACACTTTCAACACTGGCAACACTTTCAACACTTTCAACACCGGCAACACGGGCAAAGTATGGCCAAAGCCTTACTGCTGTATTTTCTCTCTGACCTATGCTCTTTGCTTTCTTATCGCCATGGCTCTTTGAGCAGAACACCGGTAACGTCAAATAATCTTAGAATTTTAAAAACTTAACTAATATTTTCGACGAGCGCTGGTAGCTTTATGTACATCAAGCCTTTGTCTACTTTAAACTCATTTCGGATCACTAGATCACGATTGTAAAGTCTGTACTAATCATTTATTAGGGAAAATTGCGGCTTTTGAATAGCATTTAGCGCATAGGAGCACCGAGAATCCCGAAAAGCTCTTTCTTCAAAGCAAATCAAACCTGATTATGTTGCGCAAAAAATGTTCAGTAATAATCGAGTTCCTCGCAGCAATCGCAGTAACTTTGAAATCCTTCATGTTTTTGCTGCAGTCGTTTTATGACTTCCCAAATACTAAGGCCTCCGAAAAAAAATTTCAAAACTAAAAACAGCAGATCAGAGAATCTAAAAAGATCACCGTATAGTACAAGAAAATTTCCTCTGCTCTACTTAAGCCATATTTGAACTTCTAAAACTTCGGGTTACAATTTTCCAAAAAGCAGCCGAACCTTGAGAGGTAAGAATGGGAGTTGAAATTTTGGCGATTATCAAAAAGCGTATGAAGATTTTGGTGAATATGTGACCATAAAAAGAGAAGGAATAGATGCATAGGATGCATATTGATACTCATTTGAATCCTAATCGTAAATGGTTTATAGTAGTTTGTAAAAACCGACAAAACTTCCGGGAAAACCCAATATTATATTGGTCATTGAGCAAAACGTAAATCAGTGAAAGGTTTTCTGAGCAACGATTTCATGTCGAAGAAGTCGGAAAAGTGGCTTTGTGCAGGTTCACTGTTTGTATTGCAAGGCATAGTGATTATTCCTGCGGAATAGCTTAACATGATTATTCCTGCGGAATAGTAACAAAGAATGGCAACTATTTCTTCGAACCTGTATTTGACGGCCTAAAAATGCAGAAGTTGGTGGTAGTGATGATAGGATGAGGTCTCGACCATTCATTTATGATGGTCTGGCTTACACCATCATATTACATTACGACTGGTAGGCTTGCCCGGCTCCGTTCGGCCCTGTCAAGAGACTATGATAAGTCTCATCCCTCTCCCTGTACAACTTTACCTTGTGCCCACTTCTACATGTCAATTTCCTAGTTCCTCTGGGTTAGTAATCAGCATGCTCACATACCCCCCCCCCCCCCACCTTTTGCTAACTCCCAGACCCATAGCTTAAACTTTGCAAAGAAATCGCAAAAGTAATCGATAATTTCGAAACTAATATTGTGTTCGTAGCGTGCTCACATATCCCCCTGTGCCAACTCTTACCCTCGTAACTCAAACTTTACAAAAAATCGATAAAAATCGATAGAGATTTAGATCGATAAAGAAAATTAGCCTCTGACACGCTCTCCGCCCCGAAGTATATGTGTGCCAATATGGTCCAAATCGATTCAGAAATATAAAATTTCTATTCCGCACATACGTGCCCACAGACATACTGACATACAGACACAACTACAAACAGACATTCAGTTTCCTATAAGATTCAATCATGCTTGCATATAAGTAACCGTGCTCACCTTCTGACGGCTTACTTCAGTTAATCAGTAGCCGTAATCATCTTCTGAAGTCCAAAAGAGCAAGAAAAGCGCTTCCAAGTGATACAAATACTACCGCATCAAAGGGCAAGATTTCTTAAGTTGTTTCAAACACAAGACAAAAAAAACGAACAGTATCCATGCAGTAAGCTACAATTTAAGCCTGCTTATTTTCCGACTAAATCTCACTTTTAGACCTGAAATTCAGCGTGAGCTGCACAACACTATGAAGATTGCGCCTGAAATTCGATCAAGAAGTGTATCCATCAATCTAAAAACGGTGCCCAACTACAAGCGAGACCGCAAAAGCGAGCAAAATTACCTACTCCGACGCTTTGTAAGACTATTTTCATGGTTACTGTCCACTTAATTAGTCAGCTGGTCTCTCGTTTCTTTGTATGTAAACTGAATGAGAAGTCATACCAAGCCATTGCCAGGAAGTGAAGAAAAATGCACAATCTAAGCAAAGTGAAATTGATCGTCCCCAAGTTAGTAGTGGGATTTATTTAGGAAGTGAGATTTACCAAACTGATCATGTAAGCAATATAGCTTGCAAAAAAATTATTTTGTAGGGTTCTATCTCGAATCCGTTCAAATGAATGATAATTAGATTTCCGCAAACAATAATTATTACAGCTCAAACTGTTTCCTGCAAAATAAGGTTGCTGATCAAAACACGATGAAAGGAAATAAGGTGGCACAGGTTAGTAATAAACAACTAGCTCTAGACTTCTTTCTGTCTATTCGCTGCATTTGAATAGTTGCAAGTATACAATAGACGATAGGTGACACATTGAGGATTTTAGCATGGCTTTGACTGTTAACGGCGATAGTGCAAAGCAGACATCAAATAACTGTTCTTTATTGCTGCCATTCCAGTATGTTGATGCGATAGCAATGAGCGTTCCCTATACGGTTGTAGCGCAAAGATATGAAAATGCAAGAAATGTACTGTTCGATAGAGAGCAAACTTTAGAATAACCAGATCTCAGTAATAGTAATCAATCCAATGTTGGAAGCCGAAATCAAAGACTATCAGTCATTCCAAAAATCAAATCTCCGCCAAATAAACTTAAAAATCTCCCACTGGTGATCATACAATACCGCTCACATTTTTTGAAAAAAAGACGCGAATGTATGGACATGTCCGTACATGTCCGTACATGTCCATACATGTATGCACATGTCCATACATCAGCGTCGCGTGGCCATATCTCGCTTCTGAGTGAACGAATTCTGAATCCAAGGCCACCGTTCGATTCAGCTCGGCGCGGAGAATCTTCTGATATATTGGAAGTGGGGGTACGATGTTTTCGATATTCCGTTTCCAGTTTTTTCAATTTGTTCTGCGGAGGTCCTTTCGCGAATATGTGAAGCAACGCCTACCCAACATAGAAGACTTTACTAAGTACTATTCGATAATACTGTTCTTGTAAATTATTGTGCGCTAAAAAATAGGCTCAGACTTCTTTCCAAAGGAGGTGAAAGCGTTGGTGAATTTTGGAAAAATCACGCTTTCTAAATTCTACTCGCCATAACTTCCTTCGGAATAAGTATATTTTGAATCCGAAAACTGCGCCTTGCTCAGCTCATCAAGTCGAATCTTCCTATGTACAGCATGTCCTTGGTATTTCGATTTCAGTATACTTGAATCTTTCTGAGGACGTCTTTTCGCGAAGGTGTAATGCAGCGAACATTGTCCCGAGTACATTTCAGCAAGGATCTTTCGATAGCACTTTTTCTGTAGATTATGATGTGCTAAATAGTAGTCGCAGGTTTCTTTTCAAAGGAAATAGAAGGGCTGGTGAATAGTGGAAAAATTTTGTCGTCCCAAATTCTACTCGCCATATCAGCAGGATACGAAGCTATCTTGCTAAGCAGATGTGAGTTTCGAAATCAGGAGGTCGCATAACCTCTACGAGCAAGTTTTCCGATATGTTCGGGTCATTTCATTTTTTCTCGCTTTACGCTCCGGAAGCGCGCCGATGGATTTTGGTCAAAATGTTCATGCTCTTAAATTGTAAGGAAACTTCGCCTATAGAGGTTTTCGAACACGCTCTTTACGAAAATCGTGGTCTTTGAGGATTACAAGGTCTTTTTGGAGAGATACGGTGAGGTGACTGTAACTTCATCACGAAAGTACGTAACTTTGGCCGCACTTCTAGCGTATCTGTCAGAAACCTTGCCTGCTTGCTTTTCTCAGTCAAAGTTACTAGGAACTGTGCTATCGAATGGTGTATTACTCAGGCTCCAGTCTGTGAAATTCGCCGAGTTACGAGCCTACAAATACACGTCCTCATGAATTTTGCCCAAATTGTAAAGATCGCATATTTCGTCGAAATTCCTCCGCGAGCGCTTGTATGGCGCTCGTTGCAGATATTATGTTCGCT